CTACTACTACTACTACTACTACTACTACTACTACTACTACTACTACTTGTTGTACTATTTTGTGTGCTGCTGCTGACACTACTGCCAACAAGCATGCTGCATGTAGTGCTCGAAAGTGTTCACGCTTTGCAGGTTTACAAGGCAAAGACCAAAGAGGGCCAGTATATTGCCTTGAAAGTCATGCGTCCTGGTGTGGCTCGATTGGTTGCTTGCGATTGGGTTTGCTGGTTCTTGGCTCTGAAGCTCCAGCGCTTGACGCTTGCAAAGCAGGGGGAGTTGGGCGGCACAACTCTTAGGTTGCCACAGGTCACAAGAGTTCTTTTTTGCTATGTTGTGCTGCCAGCTCGTTTACATGATGGTGCAATATTACTCCGGACTCCTGGCTTGTGGAAAGCACCAACAAGTCCTCCTGCCACAGAATCTGAGTTACGCTTGGTTTGGTGGTGTAAGGAGAACACAAGCTTGTGCCAACATATCCCTGGGAGGGTATCATGTCCAACAACCTTAACCAATCATGTTGGCAGGTGTATATTTGTATATGTCACACACACACACAGCAAGCATGTATTTGTTCTACAAGGATCTTCGGCTCCTTTAACGACTTTGCGAAGTTGGCAGATGGTGTCGCTGGTGGAGTTTTTTTGGAGCTGGACTATCACAATGAAGGGCGAAACATGGAGGATTTCATCCGAGAGCACATGTGGTTAGGATTCGTCACGGCCCCTGCATGGATCCATGAAGCTTGGTGTGGGAGTTGTTTTGCATGCATAGAACTGCATTTTGCATCATGCGTGTCCAAGTCTATCTATTTATCTATCTATCTATCTATCTATCTATATTGGTTGGATGGTTTTAGGTTTGTCATTCACCTTTTGTATTGGGTTGTTTTTGATGGATGCTTTGATGGTGCAGCAAGGCAACCAACATTTGTGTTTTTCAGCCAAGGAATACACGGGGCCGAAGGGCAACTGCCGTGTTTTGGCCACAGCCTGGGCCGATGGCCTTGACTTTGCTGAGCTACCACAACACTTGCGGCATCGTGCCGTGCGCTTGGCTGCAGAAGCCTGCCTGGTGCAGCTTCTCATTACTGGCTTTGTGCACGCTGATCCTCATGAAGGACTGGATATGGCGGCACAATGAAGATGGTCATTTCTTCCTCGCTGGAAACAGATTGAGATGTGTTACTCATGTGTTACTCCATGGTGTTGGGGCCCTCAACAAATCGAAGGTTTTGTGTTAAACGAACTGTTGAGGAGTTGCATGAAAATTAGCTGATTGATTGTCTAAATAGATGCATGATGATGTGTGCTGAATTGCAGGGAATCTGAAGTACATGCGCGATGGGCGGATTTGCTTCCTGGACTTCGGTTTGATGGACCGGGTTTCGCCGAGGGTTATGGAAGGCTTTGCTGATGGCATCCGCTCAGTAGTGTCCCAGAATTGGACGGCACTGGCCTATTCCATGCAAACTGTGGAGTTTGTGCCTGATCCCGTCAAGCGAAGCTTGCTCTTAGCAGGTCTTGGTGTTCACTTCAAATAGTGGTGTTGGTGGTGTTGTTTCTTACATTGTGTATCGTATTTGTTCACATTCCGTATTTCAAGCATGCCGTGCAATTCAAGACTAGAAGGACACATCAAGCTGAGGAAACTTGCGGCCAAACAGCACCCGTCCTCTATGGGTCGATAGTACATTCAGTGAGTTCGTGGAAGCTCTCGGTCAAGAGGTTGGCCAGGATCAGGATGCACAGACCCGGTTTGGAGATATGGCGGCTGCATTGAAACGGTTGTCGAATAGATACTTGATGCTTACACCTGACTATGTGGTTTTGATGACCAGGACCTTCGTGACATTGGAGGGGATTGCAGCATCATATGATCCCGACTTCAATATTTATACAACGGCATTGCCCATAACCCTGCGACGGCTCGTTTCTCCTAGTACTGCCGAGGCTCGGGCCGCCTTGCGGAATAATGTACTGACAGAGAAAGGAGAAGTGAAGTGGTCAGAGTTGAAGGAACTCTTGAAAAGCACAGAGCAGTCACCAGATCCTGAAGAGGATACTGCCATGACTTTGTTGGATGCGGAAGACAGCGATCCTTCATCATCCGACAGTGGCTTCCGACCACTTGAAGGCTTGCTGGGTTCTACAGAGGGTCAATGCCTCAGAAGAATGGCTTACGATATCGATCTCAATGCACTCTTCTCTTTCTTGGCATCTCGGGATGCTAGGTCCTTGCGCAAGCAGGTTGCAGTTTGGCTTGCGAAAAAGCTTGACTTTAGCCAATCGCGTTTGTTCAAGCCAGCAAATCAAGTCACGAGACCGGAGCCTCCAGTCGGATCTCCAGAATACGAGAAGCTGCAGAGGCACAGGGCCCAGCGCGATCGGCGAGCCCTTCGTTTTATCCTCAGAAGCCAGTGGAATCGCTTGCATTTTCGGGCGATTCCCGCACTTGCTTTGGCCATAACGGTCTTCTTGCTGCGAGTATCGGGCACTGCTTTGCTACTCATTTTGCGGCGGATTGGCCGTCGCATTTGGAGGGGCGCCAAGGCTGTTGCACGGTCGCCGGTCACGTTCTTTACATGGCTTGGTCGTCGCCGTCAGCAAGTATTGACGTCGCCGTCGTAGTGGCAAGGATTTGCACGGACAATTCTGACGGAGAATCTGACTTATCAGAGCAGATTTGTGGAGGTCCTGGAGTTCACGATAGAGATGGCGCTGCTGCGGAGCCAATGCTTTAATTGAGTCTAAACAATTTGCGGTTTCAGAAAAAAGTGACTATGTAGCCAAGCTTGGTTGATATAAGCTGAGCCCTTGAGTTGTAAAGTTGTCATGATATTCCTGAATGACACCTGATGATTCATTGCTACTCAAGTTCTTTGATTCGCTCAAGCCAAACTGCTTGCGGTTGGATTGCTTTGGCATGGATGTTTTGCAAAAGGCCAAGATTAGTTGGCCCTCGGAGGCCAGTTACCTGACTATTTGCGGGAGAAGGTGACTCTTATATCGAAAGCCTGGTCCAAGTTGCGCTTGAAACAGAAACTGCAAGTCTATGGAACTGTGGCACTGTGGCATGATTGGTTTGAATAGGTTTACTGCAATTAAGCCAGCAAAATAAGTATATACTTTAGCAGACTTAGCAAGTTGTGTTCGAGCAAAACAGCTTTGTTGTGCGTGAGCACGCGGAACAGCACACCGGTCCATTTCCGCGGATTCTTATTCAATATTGTTCACTTGCCGGTGGTTTTCCTCAACTGTGAAATCAATCTTGCAATGAAGAGCCTTGATGAATTCCTGCCCGAACATACAAAAGTCAGTCTTTGGCACCTCTAGATGAATTCTCAGCTGAGGCTGCTCTACAGTTGGAAGAACTCGGCATCAAACCCAACAGGCAAGGGCACGATTTGAAACAGTTTAGGAATTTGGGAGTAATGTGCTGGCAGTTTGGTATGAAGGAAGTCAAAGAGAGACTAGGTGTGGAAGACACTGCAAGTACCACTAGGAGTGCAATACCTACAGGCTCACAATGGATTTGACAGGTTTGTTGCCATAAACTATCATAAACTTAAATGCATGAGCCAAAAAACAATCTTGCAAATCTTAGCAACAGCCCTTTCTTTCACACCCCTCAGCATGTGGACGTTTCCAACGGTGCGCCCAACCTAAGCAACTCTCTTTCGCCACTCAGATTTAGACAACGAGTAGTTAGCAGACTGTTTTTTCTTGAAAGACAACCTCATTTCGATAGACTCAGAGCCCCTTTAATCACACTAAGCACTTTCGGCAAAGACGGGTTCATACGTGCTCCATGCTTTAGAGAAGTCAGCGAGAGGCGTTGCCGACTTTTTTGGATCCCCGGACGGATAGAGGTGGGGTGTTTGTGGCAATGAAGAGTTTGTCTGTCGTATTCGTGACTATATGTTACTTCAAGCTGACGCTAAAGCAATATATAGAGCTGAGAGCACAGTACAGTCATCTACTTGCAGCAATGGTTCGCTATCTATTCTATTCCTTTGAGGTGATGGGAAGTCCAGGAACCTGAGTCGTTTTGCATCGTTTTGCGTGTTGGAACTGACGCTGCAGGTTGTTGGCAAACACACAGACTATGCAGGCGGACGATCCTGCGTTTGCGCAGTCAAGTGAGAGCCTCAATGGATTCCTTCGCTTGAGCTATCCAAAGTAGGACAATCCAGTGATACTATGTGATACTCAGTTTTACAAAATCAAAAAGAATCAAGAAACAAATATATATATATATTTGTATAGGATCCTTCGTCCGTGAGACACTCAGCATTTGCAATCCCATTATCGATCGTCAATGTGCTTGCAAGCAGTCTTGAAAGTACCGTTCATTAATGCTGATCCTATAATATACCCCCTGTCAGTCCAGTTCCAAATACGACTTGTTTGTACAAGAACTGCGCGAGTCCTGGAAACAAAATCAGCTTATGGCATCCTAAGACTTGAATTCCACTTTTGCTGCCAATGACAGTCGGGGCTTTTGCGTCCTGTCGGTGGATCGGGGTGACGACGAGCTTCGGGTGGCCACCGTCTTAGCAAGCCGCCAAGTAGCTAAGCCTGAAATGGTGCCCGGGATATCATTGGAACAACTGCGTTTGCACAGGCGACATGTCTTTCATGCCAGCAATGGCTGCCAGCAGTTGCATGCTGTACGCAATAAATCTGAAGTTTTGAAGACCCATGAAAACCATATGAACAGCTATTTGGAAAGTTGGATAGCAGCTCGCAAGTGAAGTGATGCAGCTAGCCAGCTAGGCTACGCATTGGAAATGCAGCTAGCCAGCTAGGCTACGCATTGGAAATGCCTCTCAGGTGAGCTTAAAGTCAAAAGCTGATCAAGATGAGGAAGTCCTGCAGTGCTCGGTTCGCTTCTGAGACAAGTTGATTGTCCCGAAATCGTCCATTTTCACACTGCTGGGTCTTAAAATGCGCGGTTACAGTATGTTATAGTAATTGACTGTAAACAGTTCTCAGCAATGAATCCTTGCAGTTGTTTCACATAAAATCTGCTGCGTTTGCCTTCAGTTTGTAGATACTCGGCCAGGTGCGACTAAGCCCGGACACAGAGGTGCCGCACTGCTTTGAGTCGGTTCGATTTTGTCTCAACATTAACCTCCAAGCCCGTTGCCACTTTTTTAAATCTTTGCCAGATAGAATTTATGTTCAGTTCCTAGGATCTTTGTTCATCAATTGCATTGACATGGTAAGTTGAAGCTCAGGACATTTCCTCACTCCGCAATTTCCGACCAAATTGCTCAAAACGCTCTCAAGAGACATGAGATTTGCTTTAAAATCTGAAAAATCCTTCGAGATAACCTCAAAATTCCTTGCCGAGTTGTACGAGTTTCATGTGCGAGAACCCAAGTGCACCCATTCATCTCGAGAGGTTGCGAGCAACCATTGGTCTTTGTATATTGCTACCGCAGCTTGAGATGGCATTAAATGTAGAGTGGCGTGGTTGTATGTGTGAGTCACGTGGCTTTGAAGATTTTGCCAAAGTTTCCTTTGTAAGGTATTTGTATACATGTGAGGCATTGTTCTTGCATCAGCAAACAAAGGCAGCTCGGCGGCTCTCACAAAACTTTGGGCATTTGCTTGGTTGCGATGCCGCTTGGCATAACGCATGGTGCTGCAGGTTGGCAACTGCAGGCAACTGGTGTCATTGACGTGTCCTTGAAAGCTACAATTAGCCACTCAAACAAATTCCAAGAAACACCCAATAAGAGAAGGCAGATGATCATGCTTTTGCGGTGCGAAGGTGGCAATTTCATGTGATTTGCCTCCAGCATCGGGACTGACAAATTGCCGGCATGTTGCTACATGCATGAAGCCAGAGCCTTCTATCTAACGTTTGCAGCGCTGTTCCTAGCCAACTCTACATTCCTATTACTGTACATGTTGGTCTTAAGTGTTGCACGCATGAAGATCAGATTAAACTTGCTTTTGCATGCTCCTGCGGTTCCAGCTGAATGATGGCGCCTACCTGTTTCCGACGTTCTTTCAGGAATGAGCACCTCATCCGCTCTAATTTGCGTCAATCACTCAGCAACGGAGTAACATTTTGCTTTGCTCTCCGGCTACTAGGAGCAAAGGGCGTTACTACTACTAGCATTCTTACTACTAGTAGCAAAGGGCATCGCTACTAGGAGCAAGGAACTAGCACTTTGTACATTTTTGGAGAGTAGACTTGGCAGGCTATGTACATGGTGCTGGATGCGTGGAGCACAGTTTAGACAGACTAGTGGCTTGAAGTCCGGCCAAATCTGGGACACGATTGGTTCATTCATTCCTGAGGTGCGGAATGGTCTACAAAAACATCCAAAGTCGGATATCTCAGACCATTGGCCTTTATATCATTTCCAAGCATGAAGACCTTCCGCAGCTTAAATATACAATCGTTCATTTTAAACATAATCCATAGACATATTTTGAGACCGAGATGCATGAATGAGTCAAAGCCTGATGACCAGAGAAGATCCATTGGCGAATCCTTTGTTGCCTAAGATTTGTGGCGACCTTCAAGAAAGAAGAGGACACAGTAATAGAAGGCTGTGTGGCTTTGTTCCAGAGTTGCCTAGTTGTGATGCAAGTTGATTCTGCTGGAGGAGCTGTATGAATATTTGGGTTGCATTGAGAACGGCCAGTTTGTACCTCGAAAACTTCCGAGCAAAGCCATCGCTGCTGCATCGCTGTGGCCAGAATGTTTCATTTTGCAAGACAGCAAAGGTCGTGCGGCGAGTTGACGGGAGATCAAGGTGAGTTTGGGGACAGTTGCACTGAGCTGAGACTGTTGCATTCTGTTGCTATATTGCAACGATTGCAGGTGTAGGGACTTTCGGTGGTAGTGAGGACGCGGCCAAGTGGCTTGGTAGGAGGCAGAGAGAGAGAGGGAGTTTTCTTTCGCGAAGGACCACACAGCCATCATGTCCTCAGAGGAAGGAAAACTGAAAGCTGCCGGCTCAAAATGACTGTTTGCAGACGTTGTGCATGGCTTGCCACTGTCCAGTGTTCAGGTTTTCTCATACAAACCAACAAGACTGGAGAGCAATCATCTCAGAATTGGATCCGTGTATAGTATAGCGGTTTCCAATTTTGTTGGCTGCTGTGTCCCTCTTTTGCACTGCTTCTTCTGGTTTGACATCTTGTCGGAGAGGTATTGCACCCTTTCCGGACCACTTGACCTTTGTCGTCGCATCTAGTGGTGTGCTTGCTGAGAAGACGGGGCCAAATCCTCAGCATAGCTTTCACGTGACCGACGTCATGTGGTGAAGTGTAACACGGAGTCAGTGAGGGACAAAATGAACAACTACAATGATGCCGCGAACCTGGCGGCGTTGGCGGCCAAGACCTTTCAAGCCTCCACAGGCAACAGGGAAACGCCAAGAAGCCCACCCCCAACAAGCAAAGCTCTTTGGACTCAAGCGGCTAATTCTTCTTGCAGTTCTTGCTGAGCTCGTTTCATTGCCTTAAATTTATTGTCCTTGCTGGCTCCACTACACTGCACTCCCTAGTACCACAGGTGCGGCACGCAACCAGGGGTGAAACCTTTGCAATGAGCCAATGCGTACGAGCCAACACATCAAGCTTGTGTGAGAACTGATCCAAATCGATCCGAGCTGCGCTTTCTGCCCTGACCCTGAGCCCTTTTTGGCGCAGGCAATCAATGTCCTGACCTAGCAAGCTGTGTGCGAAGCTGTGGCGAGGCAGCCTGCCAGGGCCACGGAGTTGGAGGAAAAGAATGGAAGGCAACACCTACTAGCGATGGCCTCCACCCTAGTAGCAATGGCCTCCAACCTACTAGCGATGGCCTCCACCCTACTAGAGAACGGAAGAAAAGGAATATGTTTGTCATGAAGATCCGTTGAAGGGAGACAATGAGAAAAGCGATCACCTCTTCGGGCATCTCAGACATTGTAAGAATGTGTTGCCCAGTTGTCCTGCCTATGTGTTGCCTAGTAATCTATAGTATAATTGGGGTTGGCAAAGAATTGAGGTGAGACCATTTCAGCGGTGCTGCGGGCAAAAGGCACGCCAAGAGTGTGACCCAGAAGAGATAGACAACAGTTAAAGGAAGAATAATGTAGAAGAGAATGAGTCAGAATGAGAGACGAAAGGCGTTTGACGCCTATATGGACTGTTGGTGGAGGAACCGAACATCTAGATGTCCGTTTTCGCCAGTTCTACATCGAGAGCGAGGCTTGGGCACTCCTAGGCTGAACTACCACAAAGGTAACATGGCACATCATGGCACCTAACTTCTTCAGTCTTGGAGGTTTGCGTGCCTGGCGTAGCAAAGGTACGAGGGCATGTCGCGAGTTGACAAGTTTGACCTTTCTGGGCACAACGAGGAATTTATTGGCCAGATACAATCAGAGGAGACGCATGGAGTAGACATCGGATTCGGATCTAGAAGGACAGTGTGGTGAGCAATGGCTGTGTACCACAAACCTCCATACCTCCATACTATATAGTATCGGCTTGAAAACGTGCAGGCTTTTTTAGTCCAGCGTCGCAAGGCGGTCTCCGCTAATTCATTTGATGAAAGGGAACTTGGTCGGCTGGTCTCTCCCTCAGAAGTTCTCCAACTGCTATTAATTAAACTGCAATTTGTTTCGTGTAGAAATTGCACTGCGACACAGGTTGAACTCTCTCAGGAACAAGGTGATGCTGGCCTCCAGTTCCACTCCCGCATTTAATTGTTAATCCTTCTTAAGAATGTTGCGATGTGCTTCACACCCGTCTGCCTGTCATTGTCAAGAGACACTGACTTGCAGGAACCTGGTGCCAGAGACGCGTTGGCTGCCGGCGGAGGTTTCCGATGTTTGAGCTTATCCTGTAGACTTGATTGACGTGTATATATATATATTTATGTTGTATATGTTATGACTAGTGTTATGACTGTTATGAGTCTATGATGATACATTGAGCTTTTGGCCCGTGCTGAACGCTATGTTTGTTGCATTTTTTGTCAGGGCATGGCCCTGCTCCTTTAAAATTAGAGGTGTGGGGACTTGACTCAGCAAATAGTTAGTAGTGTTGTTTCAGGTTGTTCTCTTCCAGGTTTGTTGGAACAAGCGTTCAGGATCAAGTTCATGCTCCGAATTGCATGAGGTCAGAGAAAGGGGCACCTTGAGAAGATTTGAGCAACAAAGAAAGTACGGTGCCAACAGTCGTTGATTGAATCAGATACAAACAAGATTGTTACATAGTCACTAGACTTGAAGTGCCACGTATATATGCGCGGGTTTGTTTCGCAACCACAAGAGCCACAACAAGGTGTTTTGTTCATTGTTTTGGCACCCACCCAAAGTCCTTGACGCAATGTCGTCAGATCCAGTGATCCTGGATGTTCTTGCCTCCGTTTGTAAAGATGCTTTGCAGATGTTCGAACGTGTTCTTCTGACTTTTGATGACCAGGAACTAAGAGGAAATATTTGCATCTCCAAACATTTTGTGTATTTCGTGAATAGAGAAATGAGCAAGCTCATAGAAGGGCGAGAGAGGCTGTCATATTTAGACATTGAACGTGCTGTGGTCGACACCTCCACCAAGCGTTACTTTTTGCTGGAGATATGCCCTTCACAGGGTTCGAATTGGAGTGGAACACGGATTCTGATTCAAAGCGCACACCGTGAGTTGTTGATGCAGAAGCTATCATTGTGCTGGCAGGCAGAGTTGATGTATCGACGGTTCGAAGTCAAAAAGTTTGAGATGGTGAAGGCCGCCCTGGGGGAGCAGATGACAAAGAAGAGCTCCGCTGTGCAAAGTGACCTCATCAAAATAGAACCATTCCGTGGCTACACGGACGAGTACAACTTCCGTGGATACAGCTTTTGGTTGCGCAATGGCTTCAAGAGCACCTCAGGTCTGAAAGATGGAGTGTTCCAAAATGACGAGGGTTGGGAAGTGAACTACAAAGCTCAGCCTGTCTCCGTGCCACCAGGCATCAGAGTGATGATCCAGGTGAACAACGAGCAGCTCATCATGGATTTGGAGAAGTCGCGAGATGGCATGGACGAATTGAGAACAGTGGCCATGGAGTACCAACGTAGTCTCACAGAGAACCTGGACCAATTTTATGTGGTTGCTTCCGGGCCATACCTCAAGAAGATGAATCGCACAGATGATATTGCAGCCTGGGATGGTTGGGAGTTTTTTGTGCGCTCCAAGGAGTATGCTTTTGCTTGTGTGTTCTTTCGGCGCCAATATATTCCACCTTTGTGCAGTACATGCCAGGATATCGCAGTGGTGATTCGCTGCCCTGCTCAGGGCATGACCAAAGACTCTTGCGAGGTCATCCTGGACGAGTGCCAGTGCATCGCCGACTCAATGAGTTCGGTGTATGAAAATGTGGGCATTTACAAGAGGCCGGTGCAAGCACGCCTTGATACCCTCCACTTCACTGAAGACGGATATCGCTGGGCAGAGGGTCAGCTTGGAATGGTGCCAGTTCATCGCCGTGTAGCAGTGAGGTTTGTGAAGTCCATCGTGAAAATCCTGGTGAATGAAAGTGCTTTATGGGACGAGTCGATTGAGCATGCAGACATTTTCAAAGACGTTTCAGAGATGTCAGATCCGCTGCAAGTGCCGGAGGAGCTGATCAGTGAGGCGGAATCTTTGCTGCAAACATCCAGTGATCGAACGGAGCGCCGGAATGCCTGGGCTGCTCGCATTGCACGATACTTTGCCTATTGCGTGGATGGTGGCATCCTGGGAGATCGCTTCACCTTTCCTCTCCTGATCCAGTCGTTGGGCCGACTTTCCTCTGATGTAGACTCCTCAATGAAAGCAGTGATAGATTTTCTGCTGCATGTGAAGAAGCGTGACAACTGGGAAATCAGTTACTTCTTGGAGAAGGAGCAGAAGATCACCTTAGGTGCTCTTGCTAAGGATCCAGAGAATTTCACAACTTTTTCTTTCAATGACACGATCATGAAACACTTACTCTCGGAAGGCTTCGTGGAAAATGAGCTGAAAAAGCGCCCTCCTGGTTCTGGCGCAGACTATGCAGATTTGCTAGCACAGCTGCTGACCAACGAGACTGTAGGTTTGGGCCTGAGAACCATGGTTTGCCGACACATTCTGGAAATGGTGGGTAATCAAACTCATGAGGATGAAGAGGACAGATTTGAAAAGGCTGTCAAGCAATTGGTTCCGGCCTTGGTGAAAGTTATGAGCGGCTCGAACCACATCCTGATGTCCTACGCAACTGCTTCCTTGGTCAACTTATCGTGTGGTCGTCACACTATGAAGCAGTTGCTCGTTTCTCATGGAGTTTTGAGCTTGTGTGTGAAGCAGTTGAAGGTCAAGCATGATGAGCTTACCCTTTACACCCTTTATCTGCTCGTGAACCTCACGAAGACTCCTCACCACAGATTTATCGTGGTGAAGGAGGGTGGCGTTCCGTTGTTGGTGGACATTCTCACATCTTCCTACCAAAACTTGAGGAAGCAACGGATCCTTGCTGAAGTAGCAAGTGTCCTGGGCCAGCTATGCAATGACTCGGACACTCGCAGCTTAATCTCTGAGAGCTTCCCTGTCGTCGCTTGCCTTTTGTGGGTGAATGATGCTGCTCAACCCAATACAAAGCTGAAATCAAAGTTGCTTTTTGCACTGCGACAGCTTTGTTTGCTTGGGCAGAACAAGCTCAAGGTGGGTCCGCACATCATCCCTGTACTTCTGGAGGAGCTTGCATTGGCCTCATGGGCCAATGAGGAGTGCGCCACCAATTTGGTTCTTTTGCTCAACAGCCTGGCTAGCATCAATTCGAACGCTTTGCTCATGGCTGACCAAGTTGATGCATCCTTGGAAACTTGTGGCCTCACAAAAGATGGTTCACCTGTCAAGAACAACAAGCTGGTGAAGCACCTTTGGCCTAAGGTCGAAGCACTGCTGATCCGCATTCGAGACGCCAAAGCAGCGCAAGGTGAGTTTTAGGAATTTAGATTCGCACCATCTCTGCCAAAGAAACACCGCCGCTGCCCGGATCTGTCCACACTGGTGACAGGGCAGCTGTTGGGCTTCTCGGTGCTTTTTGTTTTGCTTTCGCATTGCACTTAATTTAGGACACACATTCACAGGAAGCTCCTGTTCTGCAAACCTTCTTCCGCCAGGCTCGGTGCTTGGGGGCAGTAGCAGCTTCCGCCTTTGGTGCTGGCTTTGGCGGCAGTGTTTTTGTTGAGATCCTTAGATGTTTTGTTGTGTGCAAAACCTTGAAAAGGGCATTGTCCCTACACACAGTGAGGCTATTGTGAGACGTGATGATGCGCCCGAATTCCTTCGTAAATGGAGAGAGAGCTATGTCAAGGCATCAAACGATATCGGAGATGGAACCTTATTGGCCAACTTCCATCGATCTCCACTGGAAAAAAAGGAACTAGGACTCGGACGACAAAAGAGATTAACAAAGGAAGACAAGGTCAGATAAGGCCACCTTACCTTCCATTCTTCATCTCTTTTGCTATTTTTTTGAGAGTTTCATTTCATTCGCCAATGTGATGCTTTTGGGATGCTCCCGATGTCAGTTCTCACTGTCAGGAGTTCCCAGGAAACGCTTCAAGCTCCGAGTTCTTCATCACTGCTTGCATCCCATCCAAGACGCATAGAGAGACGACATTTCGACACAAGTGAGGCAAAAGTGAAACAGTTGCGTCATCACAGTTGTTAACAAGCAATCAACATTTATCAATGAACTTAACCTCAAGGGGTATTTACAAGATTTTACAAGGACATAAAATATCATAAGATGATACGTACATAATAAGTAATGATCACAAAAATACTGTGCGCTTTGAGAAGTGTCCTTAGATGTTTTCAGAACATGGGTGCCAAGGGACCAGGCCCTGGAGCTACCGAGATCAAGATGGAGGCCCAGTGCTTTTACGTGCTCTTGCTGTCATGATTTCCGCACTGAAGTTATGAATGAGCCTTGCACTGATTTTTTCTCACCTCATGATGTTCATCAATGAAAACTGATAAAAAGTTCGATCAATCTTTGCGCTGGCCGCTATTGTATACAGCACATGCAACGAAGGTTCAGTTATTTCAGTTGCAGTGAATCAGTTGCAAGAAGAACCGAGTGCAGTGCAGTGTTGGAGACAGAGAGGATCCCTGGCTGAGATAGAGCCAAAACATACCCAAACCGGTGTTTATTTCCGAAATGTTGGCACTTGGATTCGCTTGCCCATACCATCAAACCAAGAGAATTGTAAATTCATGATTTTGATGACATAGTGGCTCGGGGACGTTTAGTGCTCTTTGGCGGTTCATTGTTGTATCGTTGGACACGAAGGCAGCAATACCGTTGAAGCGCCCCGCTGCAGTGAAGCGGCTTGCTGAAAAGCGGCCTGCAAGCGCCGTCAAAGTTGCCAAGCGTCCTGCAAAGCGGTGAAGTGCTGCTAGCGCCAAAAGGAGCCAAAGGCATGAGATTAGGTGCATTAGGATGGTCATTGGTGTGCCTTCAGACTCTTCATCCGGACGGAGAAGAACTGTCACTGTCAAAGCATTGCTGATATTTGAAAATGGTGTCGCCTTAGAGTCTTAGAGTTTCAATATCATTTTGCTGTTGTGGCAAGAGTTCCAATGCCGCTGTGGCTTACAGCTTCCCCTGCCCCAGCACAAAACATATATTAAGTATATACAGTAAATAGATCCTGGCAAAGCACCAAGCGAATGAATAACCTTAAGGATGTCCGCCCAGCACGTTAGTTATATACCACAGAAGGAATCCAGACACATTCAGATTCCCGATGCTTTCAAAATTCATAAGATTGCTTGCAGAGTGAACACATATTCCTGAATCATTCAGCCACATGTTGTCAGACATGCACCGGTGCACTCATGGATAGGAAGTAGGCACTCACGGGTTCATGTCCACGCATTTGTTTTTGTTCCTTGCTTCATTGTTTGCTTGCTTCCGCTTCAAGGCCGGGCCGCTCCTGTTTTGCATTCCCATTTTCCTTGGAACATGGTGAACAAAGCGAGAGTTGCCCATGGGTGTCATTGAATGGCTTGAGTGTTTCTTGCAAAGGGAGCACTCGGCTGGAAGCCATTTGTTAAACATTAAACTACGAAAAACTATGTTCAACAATTTAAAGTTGAAAAAGACTTTAAATAAACAGCTACGTAAGAATCCGGCGAACCCGGGGGATTTGCATGGCTGCTGTGTATCTCGTGGTTTGGCACTAGTCCTTTGCAGGCAAAGCCTGCGGCCAGCGTTTGGCTATGCGATGCGTCAGAGGCATCATGGCTTTCATGGCGGGTTTGATTCTCAGGGATCTTAAACAAAGACTTACAGCAACTGAGAGATGTCCAAAAGGCGCGGTTGTGGAGCTTTGGACATCAGTGCAAACGAACACAGACTCTTGAGGAATTCAAAAGGAGTTCATCAAGATACGCTACTAGGAGAAAAGGGCATCGCTACTAGGAGCAAGGACGCTACTAGGGGCTCCTGGCCTTACTACTAGGAGCAGCATCAATCCGAAAGACCAAGGCCTTCCTCCTGCACTTGGGTCTGACGATCTTACATCAGCCTTCAACAAGGTGAGGGAGCTAAAATGCATGCCACAGGCATTGGCAGCGGAAAACCGTTGGGGTGTCAAAGCATGTCGCCTTATGACTTGTCATGGAGAATTGGCTAGTTGCTCGCCATTCTTACAGCACAAGAGACGGGCAGACAAATTTGATGGTTCACAACACAACGATGGCCGAAACAGTGGCCATCTCGAATGGAAGAATGTTTGTGAGAGTGTGTGGCCCCATTGAAACAGTGCTAACCAGGCGTTCTTTGACCAGCTGCAGGGTGTCAATCAGGCGCAGTGGCACCCAGCACCCGACACATGGACGTTTGGTGAATTTTTGATATATGATATGGGTATAATTTCAATGAGGGCAAAACACAAAAAGCTTGTAGGAGGGAAAGCACGACTGGTTGTGTTTGAGTATCAAAAGTATCACACAGTGGATTGATGTAGATTGTCACAGATAATTCATGATTTGGCAATACCTAGCATGGAACTACTTGTTGGTAACAGCGCGTAGAAGGCCGTCCGTGTGGTCTTCACCGTGTTTTAAACGTGCTTTTGGTGTGAGTGGTATTCGCGCAGAATGCACACAAGATTGTCATTGGTTTGACAACATTGTGATCGGTTGCATTGGTACTCACGGCATTCTACGCACCGCATTCAAACTACTTAGTAGGGCACTATCATCTATATATACGTATGTTTTATTGGGAATGTGGGAATGTTACTGGTCCGTTGGTCTTGGGCCCTGCAAACCCTGGCCCCATCCCACTTGTCGGTTTGCTGTTGGCTGTGCGGGGTTCAGCTTATTGGCTTCAAGGTCCCCAGCTATTGGCCTATGAACAACATATCATATCGGTTTATCAGTGCTGGCGTCCTAAAAAGGGTACAGTATGTGTTCACATGCTGGCGTCCTAAAAAGGGTACAGTATGTGTTCACATGGCATACTTTGGCCATGTGCAAATCAAGCAACTTCAAGGGAAACAACATGGCCTGAGCACCCCTTCACACATGCCGTGATGGAAATATCGTTGTAACGCATCGAGAAAACATGGGTCTCGACGATGACAGCTGGCGAGGCAACACCGACGGTTGGAGCTGGCATGTCTTCACCTTGGGTATCCTTAATCCTGTGGGGCACCGGACAATGAGTTTTATTCTGTGGTTGCCGTTTTTGAATCAAGGCCGCAGGCTGGTCGTGGCTTTGAACTCAGAGTGTTTCCAACAAGTTTGGAGGAACCAAAGCCGACAAAGATCGGCAGGGTTTTTGAGGTGTTTCCACATGTTTGGAATTGTATGTTCTAACATGTTCCAAGGGCGAGAAGCTGAACTAGACAACCAGTTAAAGCGAATGGCGAAGAGCTCAACGATCAAATGTGACAGCCGTGTTCATTATGGCCCCGTCATTAACATTCATTGACGACAGACAGGTTGTTTGTATGCATTGTTTTCCAGCTTGATTTGTTGCTGAGGCATGTAACAATGTGTTGAGAAATCGTTGCCCGCCCCCCAAAAAATAATCTTGTATCAGGTGGGCGGGTCGCCTGGCTACACGGTGGAGATTGTGAGTGAGGTCGCACTAGACATGTTTATATAAGTTCATAAAGATTGCAGTAGGAACATAGGGCATCGCTACTAGGAGCAAGGACGCTACTAGGGGCTCCTGGCCTTACTACTAGGAGCAGGAAGCTATTAGGAACAAGAAGCTAGTTTGAAAGGTCGTTAAATTTGTTGAATTTGCACAGGATGGTGCCATCCCCCCTGAGGCGCTGAAATGTTCGGGGTTGTCCTCGATTTGTAAAATCGCCGATCGCCGATCGCATTTTTTGGCTGTTTTGGTTTTGGTTCGCCGTTTTTCTCAGACAAAGTGTTGAGGATGACCTGGCAAGGTGTTCAAGTTGTACCAAGCCCACATTGTGTCCGCATCATGTATACATGCTCAGGGTGCAGAGACGTTTGTGACTGCTAGGTTCCCTCCGCCACACTGTCCCAACAGTATCTAAAGCACTTCAAGAGTATCAACATGTTGGCGAGGGCCAGATGCTGACGAATGCCAGAATACGTAAGGACTAAGGATAGTGTGCCAAATATTTGAATATGAGCCTTGAATCAACGAGACAGTGGAACAGAGAGATTGTGCGAGAGACAAAAACTAACAGGGATACAGAGAGATGTCTTTTTCTCGCAGTCTATCCGACAATTCTTTCCTGGACCTTTGCAATTTGACCTCACAGAGAGTCCGGAACCTCAGGATCCCGCATGATGCTGCGTATGGTTGCATTGTGCCAGTATGTGAGTCCTGTCCGATCTTTGTTGTGCCTCAAGGCCGCGCAACAGTCATGTTTTTGCTTCGAAATCAGCAGGCTCACTAGAAAATGATAAATAGTTCAAAGTTTCAAAGCATGAAAGTAAAGCAGGAAAGCTTTGAAAGCGCGAGAAAGGACGCAGTGGATTAACAGCTTTTCCTTCCAGTGTTCGCACATCGAATCCTCCTCGAGCTCATAACAAGCTGACAAGCAATGATTGCAGTTCTACGCTGATGGGGAACTCAAAGATCCGGGAGAAATCTGCACTACTGACCCCGTGGGGGAGCAGATTAACAGAGACACCTTGGAGCGAGTATCCACGACCGCAGCTGCGGAGAGATTCTTGGAGAAACCTCAACGGACTGTGGCGATGCCGAATTATTGGAAAAGAAAGCGGAGATCAGAGACAAAGTGAACACGGACCACAAGATATGCTAGCAGTCAGAGACACAGATCAACAGATTCTGGTTCCCTTCTGCTTGGAATCAACTCTGGGCGGAGTTGGACAGAGATTGGACCCAAACGAGGAGCTTTGGTATCATCGAACCTTCAACATGGAGAAGTTAGGCAGCTCCAAGTATCTTGTTTGCAATATCTTGTTGTAAATGTTTGGCGGGACATGTTTTGATCTTGGAGATGATCCCACCTTGCTTGCTCCTGTTTTGGCGTACACGCACGAGATGTTAGGTCCACTGTAGGGAGGCTGAAAGACTTGGGTGATGTACAAAAGAAGGTATGCTCCACTGCAGATTAACATGGAACCCGAGGTTGTAGAGGAAATTGGTCTTCCACGGGTCCGGTCCACGGGTCATTTCTCAGGGTCCATGTAAGTGGGGTACATCGAAAAGCTGACATTCACTACCTGATCTTTAATAACTTCCTTTAGACTAGACGTGTCAACATTTGCTTGGTGTAGACAGTTGCATACATGGTTCATACATACCATAATGTTCGGGAGATTACACCTTTGTTTATATGTCTACTCAGTATACGCAGAGGGTTGTTGTTTTTGCCTTGAGCAATTCGGAAGGCTTTTGCTACATTTTGAAGCTGTTGACTATCGCACAACTGTTTGGTTGAATGGGATATTAGTTGGCAAGCACCTGGGTGGCTTCTCACCTTTTGAGTTTGACATCACGGAAGCTGTTCGTGATTCCAACGATTTGGTCGTCCTCGTGACTGATGCAACTGGCAACTTTCAACTGCGGGGAAAGCAGTCTAAGTCACCACACGGCATTTGGTATTCTCGTGTCTCTGGTATTTGGCAAACTGTTTGGCTTGAAACAGTTCCTCCCCAATACATCAAGAGTCTGAGAATTGACAGCACCTTAGATCCACCTTGCATGCACTTCAAGGCTGCAGTAGAAGGAGAGAATTTGGAACTGCGAGTGGTTGTAGAGAAGGAAGGCGATCCAGTCGAGGTGACTGGAAGCTGTGATGCTGCTTTACACCTCCCATTTCCTGGAGCGAAGCTCTGGTCTCCTCAGCAGCCTTATCTTTATACGCTTAACCTTGAACTCCTGTCCGAAGGCGTTGTGGTAGATCGAGTACAGTCTTATACTGGGATACGCACAATTGGCAAAAGGCAAGACCAGAAGCATTGGCGTATCACCTTGAACAATGAGATTTGTTTTCATTTGGGCCCTTTGGATCAAGGTTGGTGGCCCGATGGACTTCTTACAGCACCATCCGACGAAGCTATGCGTTCGGACATTGAATTCTTAAAGCAGGCTGGTTTCAACATGATTCGAAAGCACGTGAAGGTGGAGCCACGGCGATATTACTATCATTGCGATGTGCTCGGGATTCTGGTTTGGCAAGACCAAGTCTCAGGCACTGAGAAGGAGGGCGATTGTTTTAAGGTACCACCCTGGAGCCGGTTGGAGCCAAATGGTCAGGAAGCAGAATGGCCAGAATGGGCTAGAACACAGTTCTTGGCGGAGTTGCAGGAGATGGTAGAGGCTCTATACAGCAGCCCAGCGATCGCGGTGTGGGTACCTTTCAATGAGGCCTGGGGTCAGCATGACACTGAGGAGATTGCCAAATGGCTTCAAAGCTATGACTGCTCGCGCCTCATAAATATCGCAAGTGGGGGGGAATTTCTTTGCAGTGGGCGACATTGTTGACCACCACAACTATCCTGAACCCACGTTTCCCATTGATGCACGATTTCAGCCATTCATCAAAGTAGTGGGCGAGTTTGGAGGTCATGGCTTGGTGCTGGGAGAGGAACATTTGTGGCAAACTGCGCGAAAGAACTGGGGCTACAATGTTCTCAAGGACAAGCGTTTTCTTGGGATGCTGAGTGTTGCTGTTAAAGTCGAAATTCAATGAATTTCTGCTATTCAAGCTCGAACGAAGTGGCCATTCCTTTTGCAGCGCCCATTAGTGGATCATTAGGTAAGCGGTGCAGCTTGCGAGCACACCATTGATCACTGTTGGGTTCTCAAGAATCGGCGGTGGTAGAACTCTAGAACATAGAACCTGTGCATCTCATCTGAAGTTATGTTGTACTCTCTTTGTTTTACCTTTACAAAGAACTAGGCCCATTGGGCCATTGGGTTCAAGAGATCGCTATGCCTTGAGGACATTGAAGAGCTGGAGGTCAAATATGAGAGCTCCATGCAGAGTTTGTGCGATTGGATGTGTCGTGGAATTGCAGCAGGTGTGTACACACAAACCACTGACGTAGAATGTGAGGTCAACGGACTTCTGAGTTACGATCGCAAAGTGCAGAAGCTTGCTCCAGCATTCCTTTCAAAAGTGCACTCCAGGCTATGGGACAAATGTGCCCAGCTGGCAGCCAGAAGTGCTGCACCTGAGTGAGAAAACTTGCCTCCAAAGCTGCTTCTGTAGTCGTCAGCCTTCTTCGCAACTGGGAGACACCCTTTTGCTGCTCAGGCGGCGCGCAGCCTTTCAGGGAGCCAGATCCGCTGATTTTGGACATGCTGTCAGGGACCCAAAGTTTCGGCATAGATTCATAAAACATGAGAGGCACATTATCGAATTTGCGCAGGAGCTCAGTCAACAACGTTGTCCAGGAGAAAAACATGAGTCTACAATTGTCTACACTAGCCTACAAAGTGGTGCAGAGTTCTGATTTGTGTTCACGGCTAAAAGGCAGAAAACATATAGTGTTGTGTTGTCATGCCTTCACAAACTGCAGGCATGTCTTTCGGTGAATGCAGGTGCCGCTCCAGGAATTGTGATTTTTTTTGTTGGGCTGATTGCAGGACATGGTGACACCTGCCCTGCATAAGATACAGCATGCCAGCGCTGCTCCCAATTCCTGCCAGAAGGCAGGCAAATGCGCTGGCTGACGATCGACAGGGATTCTACAGATCATAGAAAGAAGCGACAAGATTGAGGAAGATGACAACATGATCTTGAAGCAGCCCAAAACATCCCAAAACCTCATTCTCTTTGTCAATTTGAAGGGTATAGTTATAGTTCCAGCATAACTACACATTGATGTTGACCACAGCCCTAACGCCGATAGGATGCTACAAAGCACTGCTCCACGGCCAAAGCCTCATTGGCATCCAGTCCTGATCAAATATCACGCGGCCATGTCAGTCATGATCCCACTACTCATGTTGATTCTTCACCGCCACATGGCCATACTCTTCGTCTCCATGACCTCACGATATTGTTAAACGTTATTGCCAGTGATTGGGTTTGCGATTCCACAATCACTGAGGCCAGATCACAAGTTCATTGCTTGGGCCAGCACCGCAAGAAGACTCAGAGGATCAAACCTGTGGATTTCAGGGCCCAAATGCAAACTCAAACGCTTAACAGTCCTTTTAGCGTCCTTGCTCCTAGTAGCAATGGCCTGCACCCTGGTAGCTTCTTGTTACTAGTAGCGATGGCCTCCAACCTAATAGCGTCCTTGCTACTAGTAAGTTAAGAATGAACATGCTGCCATGCAGAGTGTCCGGAGGTGCTGTCTCTGAGGCGATGACATCTCTGATGATTGCCGAAGAGATCTGGGCAAGTCAGTCCAGGGCCAAGAGTCTAAGTCTACGTGTTCTTGTCGAAAGGTGTTCTTGCAAAATGGATGCCCCCATGCAAGACCAATGGTGCAGTGGAGCTATTTTGTAAGCTGTCAAAGAGATTGCCTGATTTGAAGAGAGATAAACACTCATGACACGTCATGACAGTATTTTGCATCTGGTCTTGTTAGGCTCGAGGGCAGGTGAATCTTCCTTTTAGGTATGATGGAGGGGGGCACTTGTGCCCCCGATCCAGAGGAGGCAGCAAAGCTGCTGAGCCTCTTGAGCGAGGTGGGCCTCACTGGGTCCAAACTAGCTGTGAGCCATGGAAGCAAGGCCACGCTAGCAAGGCAGCTGGCTGATCGGCTGGGTCTGGAGGTGAAGGCTTGGCATACAGCCTTTATCCAAGGACAAGTACGGGAAGCCGTGCAGATGGCGGACCTTGATGAGCGCCTCACTGGGTCCACGTCGACGAGGTCCATCCAGAACATGCTCGATGCCAGAGCCGTGATGGAGAAGGAAAAGGAGAAAGCCCTCGAGCCTGTGGAGGCAGCTCTTGTCCTCCCCATGATTCCGAAGAGGGGGACTCTTGGGCGGACAGTCCGCTTGAGGAGTGGGCGGATTGCAGCGGAGGAGGAAGTGAATGAGAAGGTCGTGAAGACGTTGATTGACGAGTTAGAGATCTACAAGGCCCCTATATTGGATGAGGTGATGAAGGCCAAGAATCCTGCAAGGGCAAAGGACGCCCTCCTGGGGAAGTACCGTCTGTCGACGATCAGGCGGTATCTTGCATCCTGGCAGCGCTTCCGACTATGGTCGAACTGCTTGGGGAAGCCGGGACAGAGGCCGACGTCCGTGACCTTGGTCGACTATATGTACGCAAGAGAAGAGGAAGGTATGGGCCCATCCATACCATTGGCCGTAAGCACCGCAGTTGCATGGTTTGAGAAGACGGCTGGAACGGCTGAGGAGGAGAGGATGATGAACCAGGACTTCCCGCAGATGGTCATGAAGGAGTTGACACGGATGCTGGAGCAAAAGGCGCCACCAGTTAGGCGGGCGCCCCGCTGGCTGGGATGCTTCATTGCGCCCATGGAGACATTGGTGGTCGACAGGGCGGTGCAATTTGAAGTGAGAGTTTGTGCTTGGTTCAAGCTCATCAAGCTATGGGGTTCGATGAGGTTTGATGATGCAGCACATTTAGAAGACCTCTGAGTTGAGGTTCTACGATGGCCAACTGATCGGGATAATGCACCAGACCAAGACGACTGGAGCAGGCAAACGTGTCCGAGAACTTCCGATCTTCATCGCGAAGGAGGCCTACGTGCTGCAAGAGGAGTGGTTGGCGGTAGGCTTCGAGCTGGTGAAGACCCAGATGCCAAAGGACAGGACGTTCTTGTTCCCGGAGGGGTGTTTCTACGGCGCACGCTATGGGGCATCGCATTATATGCGGAGGCCGTGGCTGGGAGCGCGAGGACGATGGCATTGCTGGAGGGATACGATGGTCAGTTGATTCCTTCAGGTTGGGAGAGGTTTTGGTCTGAGCACAGCGAGAACCCTTCCCAGCGGACTCGCTGCACTGGGGGTTGAGAAGGATAGCAGGGACCTGCTTGGCCGCTACCAGTGGAGGAAGAGGCGGGGGGTCGCACCTCAGAGCAAGAGAGACAAGTCACATCGCATGTGAGAGGGTAGGTGCATAGCATGCACTGCAAGGCACCGCTGTGTCAGCGACAGCATCGCATGCTGCATACCTGAACGGTTCAATCAGGTCGGGCGGGGGCGCTCTTAGAGGGGCGTTGACATGCCGCGCGCAGCGATCACTGAGGATGAGGGCAAGAAGGCGCTTGAGGTAGCAGGTACTGACATCAAGTACCTCTTCTCAAGGCATGAGGTGAGCATAGACAACCAGAAGTTGTTCTTTCACCATGGGGTGACTACCCTTGAGAAGTTGTCGAACTTCGCGAAGGATCGAGACGATCTCGTCACGGTCCTCAAAGATCACTGGGAACTCGATGCAGAGAGGTCTTTAGATGAGCGGGTGCAAGTTGCTGCAATTACATGTGCGTTCGGTAATGCAAGGACCAGGAGCCAGAAGGCGGCGGAGGTCGACGCAGAGTATGATACGCTGCAGTGGTCCCGGCCCGTGGTTGCAGGGGAATGGGCAGCAATGCGTGCGGCCCTGGAGAAGAGGTACGGCCAGCTGGACGACAAGGTGTACCCTCCAAAGAGTTAATCGAGAAGAAATTGTCAGAGGTTGAAGGGGGTGAATACAGGGCCGAAGAGCTGACCGAAGTTGTGTCAAAAGAGGAAGTCGAGCCCGATGGAGTCGTGCCCATTTGGGACTCCAAGGGCCGTTTGGCCATGCGCAAGGCCTCAACAAAAATGCCAGAACCGGCAAACGCTGAGGAACTTCGGCGGCGCTTGACCATCTGGAAGAATGCAATGGTCATGATATCCCTGAAGCATTTGAACCGGCGTGAGCTTCAGGGTGCACGGGAGGAGACAGTAGAGCAATACAAGGACTACCTCCTGGGTGACTATGTGTATGGGCTCAGCGCCAAGGACGCAGAAGGCCAAACCTTTGCAGCACCACCATGGAAGTTGATCATTGCGTATGAGCGGGCCATTCGAAAGCAAGCCGTGAGGATCACAAATACAGAAGGGAAGCCTTTGACGGTAGCCCTAAAGACAGCATGGAAAGATGCAACAGTCAAGGAGCGGAACTTCACGACACCGCTTGCACTCTATGCAAAGAGGCCAACGCCACCATGGAGGGAGCAGCCGGCTCAGAAGTGGGCGGCAACCGAGAAGGGCTCCAAGGGGAAAGAGAAGGGCAAGTCGAAGAAAGGCAAGGGCAAGGGAAGCAGTGCACACTGCGCAACGCACACACCTGATGGTGAATTGATTTGCTTCCGCTACAACACACCAGGAGAGAAATGCAAGGCCAGCAAGTGCAAGTACCGCCATGTGTGCGGGATTTGTTACAGTGACAAACGAATGCAGCCCAAAGACTCGAAAGGAGGCAAGGGCACCTGACACGAACGGGGCGAAGTGAGGGACTTTGAAAGTCCTGTACGTGTTTTCGGGGAAGAAGCGTCGCAACTCAGTTGCAGGTTTTCTCCGGAGGCTTGCGCAACGAAAGGGTGTTCGTGTGGAGATCACAGAATTGGACATCCAATCTGACCGACGTACAGATTTCACCATACCGTCAGCGCAGAAGAAGTGGCTACAGTTGATTGCTCAACGCATCTACTATGCCGTAATTGTCACGCCACCCTGTTCGACCTTTTCGAGAGCAGTGTGGGCAAATGATTTGGGTCCGTTCCCATTGAGGAGCTCAATCTATACCCGAGAGGGTTCCCCTGGAACAGGACAGAGCGTTTTCACAAGGCAGAATTCGGGACGATTTTAGCTGACTTTTCCTTTGAAGCATTGAAACGTCAGTTTGCGTGCAAGCGCCGTGTGGGGCTGATGGAACAGCCAGAAGACTTGGGCCGAACTCACTACGAAAGGATCCCAGGGCATCAACCTGCTTCAATGTGGCAGTTTGTGCAGTTTATTAGTCAGCTTTTGGAGATTGACGGTACCCAGACTGTTGTGTTCGCACAGTCGGACTTTGGTACGACCTCGCCCAAGCCGACCAGATTCTTGATGCGTATTTTTGCACCCTTGCATCCTGCGATGCACTTGGGCCCTCCTCAATTTGACGAGCAAGGCTGGTACTTGGGACCCCTGCCACGTCAATCAGGGGCGCCCCTCTGATCGGTAAGACGAATGGGGTGTTCCGCACGGCCCAGTCAGCAGCGTGGCCTCCTGCACTCTGCCGGTGGACGGCAGAAGCCATTCTCCTTCCTGAAAGAGTGTATGGGGGGGGGTGAGAAGACTATGGCAACCTCAGCTTCAAAAGTGGCTGCAAAGAGGGGTTTTGAGGCACCATTTCGTGATGGAGGGGGGCTTGCTTCACCGGGGAGATGGACTCCGGATGACAGGAAGATGTTAGATGGGAAAGAATGGGTGAGTGTGAGACATCAGTTGCTCCTGGCGGCGGTTCGTCGCTTGGGTAGTGTTGCTGAGGTTGAGAAAGAGGCCTTCCGGATGGCAAGAGGGGGCGATGCGTTTCGGCTTGTCAGAGATGAGGTTTTCCTGCGTGAGGTCAGGGATATCCTGGTGGAGAAGCTTGGTCTTGCAAAACAGGAGGCTCCTGAAGCGGGCCAGCCGTTCTTCTTGGGCATCATGCAAGACGTCCTCGGGAAGGCGGAGGATCCAGATTGGGCCTTCCAGGCCAAGGTTGGGCTACCGCTGGGCGTGATCAATGACCTCCCGAGGACCCTGGCTATCTTCGAGGAGCAGGTGCGTTGGAACCTGGAGAGTGAGGACGGTGGCAGTGCAGTATGGCAAAAGGACAACTATGCATCTGCCGCAGAACATGAAAAGTACTTGGTGGAGCACCTCGAGCAAGAGGTTTCAGAGGGCCTCACGATGAAGATGAGTGAGGTTGAATTCGTGGAGACCTTCGGTGAGAACAGGGCGGTAGCGGCTTTGGCGGTCCTGGTGGAGGATGAGTTGTCCGGAAAGAAGCGGGTCATACATGATGGCGCCCATGGAGTCAGAGTGAACCATCGCATCGGCACTGCTGGAAGAGTATAGGCAGGGCATGTGGCAGTGTTGTCCTTGGTGGGCGACTTTGCAAAGGCACACCGGAGGTTCAAATACTTGGAGGAGGAACAGGGCTTTTTGGCCTGCAAGGCCTCAACCACAGCGGTGTCAACAAGGTCGGCGCGTTCGGGGTTGCTTCGACACCCTACTGGTGGGCGCGGCTGAGTGCGGCCTTGATGAGGTTAGTCTATTGGGTGTTGGGCGACGCATTTCCCAATGACATGTTGCTATATGCAGACGACCTCGAGCTCCTCGCTATAGGACGTGGAGGGCGCATTGCTGGCGTGCTGGCTTACGCCCTTATGGCGGCTTTGGGAGCTCCCTTCAAGTGGGCAAAGCAGAGAGGTGGC